ACATCCCACTTCTAAAGAAAGTAGAAGGCGATCTGACTAGATGGAAATCTTTACCCATATCACTCATGGAAGGGTCGCCACTATAAAAATGATGATCTTGCCAAAAATAAATTACTTATTTTTGATGATCCCTAACAAACCATCACAAGATTGGTTCAGATCTCTGGATTCATATATTTCCAAATTCCTTTGGAAAGATAAACCCCCGCGTATTAGCTTAAAAACGCTACAAAGAACCAAGGATAGAGGAGGATTAGATCTGCCTAATTTTCACCAATACTTCTTAGCCAACAGGCTTCAGTTCATCTCAGAATGGTTAAAACATACCTTCTTAGTTGAGCCCTGGCTAGATGTTGAACAGGCACTATGCAAGGATCTAGAGATTTCAGACCTACCATTTATCAGCTCAAACATCAAAAGACATGAATGCTTTAAAAGTATCAACATCAGCTTTTCTCTAACAGCATGGTGGGAGTTTCTAAAAATAACGGAGTCTTCATTAATCCCATGCAAACGTACACCTATCTGGAATAACCCTGACATATTACAAAACAATAATATGATTAATTTCCCAGAATGGAGTTGTAAAGGAATTAAATACTTAGAACATATATTAGAGGGAACAGAATTTATTCCATTTGACAGACTAGTTGAACAATATGGGATCAACAAGACAAGGTTTTAGAATATCAACAAATTAAATCCATAGTAAAAAAGAAATTTAACCTCAGTCAAGTTGAATTACAAACACCACTAAGTGCGGCACATTTCCTTACTCTTAAATCCCCCAAATTATTATCTAAAATATACAGAACACTTTCTAAATTAGATGAATCAATATCCCTTCCTACTGCAAAGTGGGAAGCAGATTTATCAGTCAACCTAGACCAAAACTTCTGGTCTCAGATTTGCTTAAAAACTTTTAAATTAATTAAAAATCCCAGTCTGCAATTAATACAATACAAAATACTTCATAGAGTGCACTTTACAGGTCATCGGATGTTCAAGATGGGCTTTACATCTTCCAACAACTGCTCACACTGTCAAGGCAATACACCAGACAATTACATCCACGCTCTTTGGTTCTGTCCACCAGTGCAAAAGTTTTGGCGCGAGATATGTGAAGACTTATCAAATGTCTGAAATGTAACATTCCAACTTCCCCCTTAGTGTGTTTGTTGGGCAGCTTAGATAATGTCACTTCAGAAAAGAATATAGCCCATATGATCTTCACTGCCCTATGCATAGCCAAGAAAACAGTCCTCATGAACTGGAAAAATAAAAATAATCTTAATTCTAACCAATATAGAAATTATCTATTAGATTACATTAGTCTTGACACAGCCTCTGCCACCACATCAGATCAATTGCTCTGGGCCCCTTTTATCAGCTCCATCACCTAGTGGGGGTGGGGGTCATAGTTTGGTCCCGCCTTCACTGTTGTGATTGGTGAGGGGGTAGGGACAGGCTTAGGGCGTCGGGGGTTCCCGGAGGCATCTTCCTTGGGGGCTCAACCCGGGGTAGCAGTCACGTCCGGTTGAGGGCTCTGTTGGCTCTCAGGTGACTGTTTCCTCGCGGCTGCGTGCAGCGGGGCTAGGGGAGGGTCTGTGCTGACGGACGCGGGTTACTGACCTGGCAACCTGGCTGCCCCTGGGTGGGTCCGGATGGGCGTGAGGTTCTGGGGCGCTCCGTCTCTGGGCTGGGGCCCGGGCCGGGCCTCGGGGGCTCGGGTCCTGGTTGGTGTGTTGCCGGGGTTGTGGGCGGGTGGGTGCATGGGGGCCCGGCCCTGGAGCAGGGTGCCGCCAGTGCATCGAGCCGCCTGGGGGGCTCTTCAACTGGTGGGGGGGATGGTCACATCTTGCAGGAGCTTTCTTCTCTCAGGAACTCTCTGCAGGAGGGGGAGATACAGGAGAGGTGGAGGAAGATCTCAGCCTGGGCGTTTACCGTCTTATGTAGTCTGGAAGATGTGTGGTTGGTGGGGTGGGTGCAGTTTTCTCTGTGGTGGGGTTGGGTGGACTGTCCAGGGCTCTGTGGAGCCGGAGGGCGCTACTGCACTGGGCCCCGGTCTGATGGGCCTGGGCCCCCCTTCCCTGGCGGGTCGCGGAGGGTGGGAGTGCCTACTGGGGTCAGCGGGGGAGCTGGCCCCAGGGAGGGGTTACCTGCCCCTCCCTTCCTTCCCTCCCCATCTCCAGCTGCCTCCCTCTTCCCGCTCCTCCACAACCACCCACACATGCAGGGCCTTGGAGTGGGGGTATGTCACCAGGGTGCAGAGGAGGCTACCCCCCCCCCTGTCCCCTTCTGGCTGCCTCTGCCTCAAATTTATCCCACAACTTAGACATTCACATTATTCACACTCTCATTACACATACATATAGGATCTTGGGGGTGGGCACAATCACGGAGTCCAAATCACCATCAGGGTGTATACCTCACCCCTGACGTCGTTGCCCACCTCTCAATTTTAAATACACTTAGTCATTGAGGGTTAGCAGGAGGGACTATGCGCTTACCTGCTGCTCCTTGGCAGGTAGCTCCATGCCCTCCTGGGTTTTAATTGCACCTTAGAACACATATGCATCAACACTACAATGAGCGGGTGGAGGGAGGTTTGGAGTCTTCTCCCACCCCCATTCTCTGCGGCCTGCTGGAGCGGGAGGGCTAGTAGGAGGAGTTGGCCTCCCTGCTGCTGCGGAGTCGGGGTGGTCTGCCTCTCCCCACCGCAGGGAAAAGGGTAACACCACCTGGGTCTGGGTGCAATTCCCCCTCCAGGGGCAAGGGTACCTAGACCCGGTTTGTAGAGTACGCTTGGGGAGTGTGATTGTGTGTACAGCGTCTCTTTATGTCTGTCTCCACGTTGGTTGAGTGTGGAGTGAGTGCATATGAGAGCATGAGGGTGGGAATGGATGTTTGTGTCTGTGTGTGCCTGTATGTCTGTGTCTATATGTCAGGTTGGGTATCAGACGCCACCTCTCTGGGGACATCTCAGGCCCTCCAAGGTTTGGAGGCCTATCTCCACCCACCACCACTTCCCCTGCCGGTGGCGGACTCCCTCAGGTGTCGGTGTGTTGGTGGTTCTTTGTGTCTGGGGGTGGGCGTCCGGGTACACACCGGCTCACTCCTTGGCGGCCGCTTGTCGGGGCCTGGGGCCTGGGGCTCGCTCGGCCCCTTTGGAGGTGGGGTGCCCCCGGCCTCTCGGCCTAGGGCTCGGTCACTCAGGCGCAGCTGGGGGCCGGCGGAGCTCACGGGCGCGTCACTGCAACTCCCCCTGACTTCTGCTCCGCGGCTGCTGGGCGAGCCCTCATCTGGGACTCTCCTCAGCTCTTACTGGGACAGTGGCGCGGCTGCCCCTCTGTTGGTCTTCCTTGGTCTCTTGTGTTCTGGGGCCTCTGGATGTCTGGAGTTTTGATCTCCTCCATACCCGCTTCACACCCTGGAGGACGGGGCTGTGGCCCCCCCACACTCCCTAGCAGATCATTACATGGAGAAACCTTTGGAATGCAAGCATGCTGATCCACACAGGTATGCACACATGGGTATTCACAGACGCGGACTAAAGCTTTCTTGGCTGCTGCCTCAAAGCACACTGTGCGCTGTCTATCTTGCGTGCTGCACAATATCGTTTATTACTTAGTAAATACTGATATCTATGACTAGCTAGTTTATTGTGATGGTATGGTGCTTTGTTTTCTCTATTATTATGTTGCTCTTTGTTGTTTGCTGTCTCCTCTGTTTGTTTTTGTTTGTTTGTTTGTTTGTTTTTTTTCTCCATACAGGTGACCCAGGAGTTTTTTTTTTTTTTTTTTTTTTTTTTTGTCTCTCTTCCCCCCCCTTCTCACCGTCTCTTCTCCCCTTTGGTTTTCTTTCTTTCTCTCCCCCTCTCTCTCTCATTCATTCCCCCTGTCCTATTTATTAAAAAAAAAAAAAAAAAAAAAAAAAAAAAAAAAAAAAAAAAAAAATGACAAAGGATGAACTGAAGCTCTGCCATCACGTAATGTCGCATACTGCTGTTTCTGATGTCATTTAAGAAAAAAAAAAAAAAAAAAAAAAAAAAAAAAAAAAAAAAACCTCGATTACACTCATTAGACTCCAACATGGACGGCTGAAAACTATGGCAGAGCAATCCTTGCAGTCAACTTATAATACAAGTTGACTGCAGACGAGACACACCTAAAGTCAATTTATAATCATTATTTAATCCAACAGTTTATTGTTTTGTAGGAGAAAAACCCGTCAATCATGAAAACATCAGCTAAAAACCCTGTTTGACTCTTTATTCCTGTTGATTTGTAGAAGAGAAAAAGAGAAGAAAAGAAAAAAAAGCAACAGAAAAGCAAAACATCCTTTCACTGTTTTGAAGACAGGAGGATCTCACATGTTCACACATGCTGTATGCAGTTCCTGTCTGGGCCTGTTACGCAGCAACAGAAGCGGTGCCGCTTGCTGTCTCACAGATAGAAACCATTAAAAGAACAGTACAGTGTATCGAGAGAGTACAATTACTTCGCAGTGATGTGTATCTCACACTGCTGTTATTGACTCAGAAATTTAACACTCCTTCTTTCTCCTTCATTCGATTTTTTTTCCAGACAAAAACAGGTGAACTCCACAGAACGGACCTGGCTGCTGTGTGGAGTGACTCACACTCAAGTTTATTCCGAAAGTCCCTTGTTTTCAGTTTTCTTTATGAATCAGTTAAATTTCCCCTCTGAGATCAGGATCAAGCACTGATCCTTTTTAAGTCCTTGAGCATTTCCTCTTTATTTATTCTTATCTTTCATCAGTTCTGCTTTCCAACCAGTTCATGTAAAAGAGTCGTGCAAGTTTTTACCAAAGATAGCTCGTGTTCAAACATGAGCTCGAGCCAACATCAGGATAGGAATGATGAACCCATAACATTTTACAAATCAGGACATGTGTGTGTGGGTGGGGGCATATTTTTCCACTTCATGTTCTCATTCAAATGAAAACAGCTCACTGAGGGATGTGCCTGTTCTTCAAGGTTTAAGGCTCTGCCCACTGTGAGCTCCTTTTTCTAAGATTTTGAAGGCTTCATGCATTCTCCGTGGTGATCGAGGATATAATTTTGGGGAAATTAGTCAAGAATTATTTTCTTTTAAATAATTTAAACCCAGCGAAATCGAAAGAGTTTGTGACATGTTTCATTGTGACTTTGGTCAAGCCTCGAATTTGATCTCACGCAGTCAAATTTGAACTCCGGTCCTGTTATTTACGGATTCACGCAGGATTTTTAAAAACAAAGATCATCAGACATGTCTGCAGGAATATGCATATTTCTTTGTTCGATTCTGCTGCTTGCTGGCGTGTTTGTGTCCGTGTGTGCAGGTGAGATAACTGTATGTAACATAAAGAAGAATAAAGCGTTTCAGAGTGGTTTACGTGTGTACAATATGATATAATACAAAGGTATTAGGTGCTTGTTAGACAGTGTATTTGTTTGAAACTGAATATGTGATATAATTGTTTAATAAATAAAGTTTGCTTTAAGCCGCCCATCATCAGGGAATGTTTCTGTGGATCTTGCAGGAAGTCAATTAAACATGTAAGCCCTAAACAATAAGAAGACAAAGGTCTGTGGAGTCTTTCCAAAATGATCTGGTGCTGATATTAAAACATCTCTGAGAAAACCATCAGCTTCCATTTACCACGAGCTCCTTATTCAATCTAAACAGACTAGCTCTTATGTAGTACTTTTCTACCTGAGCAGTCAAATCACTTCATAGATGTCTCAATCAGCAGTGCTTTATGTCATATTTATTCACACTCCTGCTCTACCTCCTGAGCCACAGCCACTCTAATCTACAACTGTCATCAGAGTTTTAGACAATTCAAGCAGCAGGACTTTGACGTTAAACTGAGGTCAAAGTTCCCACAGATGATGAGAAGTAACTCTTTGTCCTATCAAAATCTGAGATTTTTGGCTTTTCAAACATGCCCTCTGATGTCTTGGCAATCAAGAAAAAAACACAGATGTACTTCATATCATAAAAATAAAAATAATTTGCTCAAATGTCAAAGACAGTAAGCAGCATATTAGAAGTTAATTGTTATTTTTGTGAGTCCACTGATGTGGCACACTTTGTAGTGTCCACTAAATACTTCTCAAGTGTGCTGGTTTCTGAGGCTCCTCTTTTGACCCACAGTGTCCTCAACATCAGTAGGAAAAAGTTTTTTGAGTGTCTTGACTGATCCTCACTCACTTTGCTCTGTGTTGTTTCCTCTTTCAGAGGACAAAAGCATCACAGTTCAGTCTGGACAGAACGTCATTCTACCATGTCAAGCTCCAAATGATAAGGGTTCCATCCGAGTGGTAAAGTGGACCAAACCTGACCTACAAAAGAAAATAGTACATTTGTATGTGGATCGGCGATTTGATCTCGAGGATCAGAATCCATCTTTTAAGAACCGGGTGGATCTGCAGGACAGAGAGATGAAAAATGGAGACGTGTCTTTGATTCTGAACAATGTGACGATTAATGATGCAGGAACATACGAATGTAGTGTTATCCAGAAAAAAGACCTCAGCCCTTCCACCACTACTATAACTCTTGACCTGAGAGTTATTAATTCTAAAGGTGAGTTATGAGAGTTCAGTGTGTCAGTGATCAAAGTTGAATCTGCTTCCTGGTTGTTGGATTCTGTTCTGTTCTTCACTTATCACCTAGCTGACACCTCATACCTGTTTCTCACCTGCAGGTCAGACATTCCTACCAGTAGGACGAAGTGTAAGTGGCTCTGCTGAACTGGTCATTGGTCTGTATCTTCCCGTTGTGCTTCTCGTTGTTGCTTTTGTTTTTTAGCTACAGAAAATTTAAAGAAATCAGTGAGTGTTCAAACCAACCTCAGTTTTTTTTGTTAATGAAAACAAGAAAAGAAAAATGATCTGAGGACAGACGGACATTAAAGATGGGGAACATTCAGCTGCAGATTTCAAACATCTAAAATTTTAATTTCTTTCACATCTGTTGGACTGATTGTTGGTCTGACAGTTTCTGGTCTGCTTCTTCTGGCAGTTGTTTTGTTTCATCCACAGAAGATATAAACAACAACAAAATCAGGGTCCATACCACCCTTCTGCTGGAAAGTAGTAGGTTGACATTTTTCCAGAGAAAGGAAGATGATAAGATGACAGACATTTTAATGCTTAACATCCAGCAGGCCATATCAAATGTTAAGTTCTTGATTTGATTTTACATTTTAAATGTTCAGTTTCTTGTGGTTCCATCTGTTGGACTGACAGTTGGTCTGTCTGTCTTCTTTTTACTTTTGAGGGGTTAAAAGAAATGAGTCAGAATCTACACGAGCTCCCCAGAGCAGAGTAAAATGAGTTGGCTGAGTTAGTCATAAAAAGATCAACATTCTAAACCAACCACTTTGAAAACAGTTTATTTTGTTCCTGCTATACTTTTTTGTTTTACATTTCTAAATTATGATTATCTGACTGTCAAGAAGTCCTGCACTACAATCCACTAAAGTCTCATTTTCATTGTTCCTGTCTATAAAAAGCAGGAAAAATCCATAAATATGTTTAAACATTTATGCTCCAGTACTAAAACAGCCAGTGTTCAAACCAAGCTCAGTTTTAATGAAAACAAAGATGATCTGAGGACAGACAGACTTTAAAGATGTTGAACATTCAGCTGCACATTTCAAATATCTAAAAATTTTAATGTTTTTCGCATTTCTCTCAAACATCATGTCAAGTCTGCCTGCAGCTTTATGACCTACAGTTTTTGTCCACCTTCAGTATTTTAATATGTTTTGCTCACACCAAGTTAAACTGTATTACGCAGGAACATTACTCTATGTTCTGCTGTATTAGAATCAGTGAGCCGAGTTTATATTCTTTTTAAAATATTGTTTATATTTCTTTTGTGGAAAATTCACAAGTTCACTTTGACCCAAACCCATTGTACATATATGCATATTATGTTGTGTTTTCTAATTAAATATCCAGTGTCGTGTATGTTGCAGTGTTGGAATCAGTGAGTGTTGGTTTCAGCTTCAGGTTCAGCAGCTGTTTGTGACATCTGGATGGGTTTGACTCATCATGTTCAGTCAGCATAAATATAGATGCTGACTAAACCAACTCACAACACAGACACAAAAGCATGTCACAGGTTTTCATCTGTGTAACATAAGTAAAGTTGCATATTTGGGAACACCTCATTGGTTTTGGTGTGATTGTTGGTTTAGTTAGTTCCCTTCACACACTTGGGCTGTGGTGTGTTAGTAAATCAAAAAAATTAACTGCCTGAACAATAATGTTCACTTGGATGGGTTTCAGTGAGTGATTCGAGGGACTGCTGTCCAAGGAAAATGAAACTGAAACTTATCAGTCCCAGTCTGGTATTTTGTGAAATCTAACTTCCCCTCAGGCGCTTCTGAGAAACAGACTCCTCCATAAACTTGGATTTCAGTCATGTAAAGTGTGTTTCCTGCAGCACTCAAAGCACTTCATGTAATATGCATCATTCACCCATTTATACAAGCAGTTTTGTCTATGCCTAAGTGCTTTCTGTCTAATATTCATAAATTCATACTCCAGTGCATGCATCAGATCCAACTTGAGGTTAATTGGTTAACTGGGGTTCAACCATCAATCTTCCAATCAGTAAGTGACGTGCTCTACCTCCTGAGCTACAGCCACCCCAAGTGCACATTTCTGTACTGCTGTTCCATTCGCACAGCAACTGAAGGGGTGCTATCATCCACTGCAGATAGGCTCCCTTGCAGTCTTACAAAATGCTAACTGCACGTCATTGAAAGTAAATACTGTATACAAAGTTGTGCCAAAGCACAGACACGGGCTGCACTGGGCTTTTTGCATTGTTTTCAACACTCTGGCTCTTCACATGTTAGCACTTTTCTCTTCTCCAGGCCACAGGGTGGTTGTGTCACATATTGCTGTCACTGCCTACATTGACACTAAAAAAAACTCTCCCACCGCCATCGTGTTACGCTGAGCTGTAAATTCTCCTTAACGCCTCGATTGCTCTCATTATAGACTCCACCATGGACAGCTGAAAACTCTACAGCAGAGCAGTCCTCGAGATCTGTTAGAAGTTTGAAGTAGCTCCGCTTCGGTCACAGGATGTTCTTGTAATGACTGTATGAACGACTGGAGATCCTATACAAACAGCAGAAACACTTCAGATTCCTCTGCTTCTTCAATCTCGTCCAGAGCACTTTCTGCCAGCCGAATCAGAGCACGTCGGGGCTGTCCTTTAAAACCCACCACTGCTGGTTCGCTGCACTTAAGACGCTGGCACACCTTTGTGAGTTCGGGTTTCCCAAGGGTCCACAATGCTGTTCTGATGTCATCTTGTAGTTGTTCCATCTTTGGAAGATGTTAATTCAACACGTTCTAGATTTTTGTCCAGCGCGGGAAATATACTCTTAGCTGGTGGCTCACCAGATGATGTTACACACTGAAGGAAGACAAGGTTCATTCAGGTGCACATTGAGGTTTGTTGCGCTCAGTAGTTCTGTGTTACTGACGGCTTCCATCACAATAACTGTCCTGCGTTACTTTTGTAAGGGATTACTTTGCCAGTCTCTCATTTTTCTGGGCCGCCACTGCCACCTACTGACAAAACTCAATATCACCCTGAGACCAAATCAGGTGGGAGCAAATGTGTTTTGCTCTGTGATACAAACTATTCACAACAAAAGCAAGAAAGAAAAGTGAGGGGGGGGGGGGGGGGGGGGTGTCACAAACACTGCGGGCTGAGAGTTGTTGACAGTTCAAACATTCAGGGTACCACACCTACAGGCAATTCATTCTCTAATCCAGCATGTTATTGTTTTGTAGGAGAAAAACCCATGCAGGTACAAATATTAAAATATACCCTGTCTGACCGGACTTTTTCCTGTTGACTTATAGAACAGAAAACAAAAAGAAAAACAAACCTTCCTGTCACTCTTTGGCTAACAACAGAGCTCCAACATGTTCCTACATGCTGTGTACAGGATCGGTCAGACTGATTTTGTTTGTGCTTTCAAGACTTTTTAACTCCTTCACCACCATCGAATTGAGGAAGCGAACAGTTTCATCTTCATTAAGACTTCACAAAAAGTGGTGATGCATATTTGTAGAATTTAAATCGCTCCAAGAATTAGATAAACATTTTAAACATGGTAAAAAAACAGTTTCATGTTTTTGTGTTAGGTAGTTTTAGACCAGTTTTACACTCAGTACACACGCCACATCATCCCTGCTAACAACAACACCGCATTCACGTGCATGTTAGGCAGTATTTGACTCATTTGCTGCTGCGCTTGTCTCACAGATAGACCACATAAAAGCACTGTATGATGCACTGAAAGAGTACAGTTACTTCAGCTCTCACTGATGTTATTGACTCAAAAATGTGCGACCCTAAAACATTAATGCTCTTTCTTTCTCCTTCATTGGATTTATTCCACACAAAAACAGGTGAACCACAGAGCAGGCTCAAGTCATTCGGAAAGCCCCTTATTTTCACTTTTTGTTACAAAACATCAAAGTCCCCTCTGAGATCAGAATGTAGTAGCACTGATACTTGCCAAGTCTCTGAGCATTTCCTCTTTATTTATTTTTATCTTTCATCAGTTCTGCCTTCTAACCACAGCTCATGTAAGAGTTGTGTAAGTTGTCTGAGAGTCTGCTCTGAGTCTGTGTTTGTATTATATGCTGACTGAAGTTTCTAAACAAAGATAGGTCGTGTTGTGTTCTAACTTGAGACAATATTGGATTAGATGTGATAAAGTATGACATAAATCTAATATTTATTCTTTGACTTTAAGCCCAGAGTGAACGCTGTAGGTGTTTAGGCTGTTTTGTTTATGTTTTGGATCAATTTATATCTGGCATGTGATTATGGAGTATGTTGTGTTTTCTAGTGTAGCTCTCCTGTTTGGTGGCTTTTGGGAGGCTGTAGAGCAGGTTGTTAACCAACTGGATCCATGTTTGATCTCCGGCTCCTGCAGTTTGCATATTTAAGGAAGGTAAGATGGTGAATACTGAGTTGCTTCTGATGCATCGATCTGAAGTCTGAGTCTGTGTGAATGTTAGAGAAAGTGCTTGTGTGATGGGGTGTAGTTCTCAGTTAGAGTAAAAAATGTGCAACATAATAAGCAGTTCATTTGACCAAAGGGTGGTACACTTTTGCTGTAAACGTACCTATTCTGTCAAAAGCAGCACATAACTGAGGGATGATTAATGTGGTAACTAAAATAAAGTGTAAGAGCAGCTCTGATGTAATGTAAGTATTTCTCAGTAAGACAGTTCAGAGATATGAGAGGAGCTGAAGGAGAATAAATATGTGTATGTTTTCACCTTTAAACCTTGAAGCTGTATCTGAAAGGAACTTCGCTTTGGTTCGGTAAGAGGGAAATTAACAAAAGTCTTTCCTGTCTTTGCACAGTTTGTCATGTTCTCACTTCATGTTCTCGTTTACATGAAAAAAACTGGCAGGAAAAAAAAAACTGGGCGTGCTCTGGGTATTGTCTGCCCACTGACAGTTTAACGGCTGCTCCTGTTTGTTTCCTCAGGCTTTATATGGAGCTCGAGGGTGAAGTTTTAGATGAAAAAAAAAACAGATAAGAGGTACTTTTTTGTGATAATTCAGGCGCAGGAAAATCGAAAGCGTTTATTCAAGATGAGCGGCTGAAAGAGATACGCGTTTCACACTCGCTTTGAATTTGAACTAACGCAGTCAAGTTTTAGACCCCGGTCCAGTTATCCACGGATAATATCAGCAGGCGGGATTTTAAACAAAGATCGTCGGACTACAGCGCGGACATGGCTGCAGGAACATGTGCGTGTCTTTGC